TAAAATAATACGTAGATCTTGGCCTACACGCAAGGGGACTGTTGAACATTGTGAAGATGTGTATTTGCATGAGCTTTCAATCGGAAAGAATACAATACAAAAAGATCTTTTCTTAAATAAAAACTACTGGCACAACTAAATCAATTTAACCTGAGCTTATTATTTTTTTATACACCCCTTTCGAATTCCCATTCACACAATTTATGCGTGCGCGGCTCTCTGCAATTGGACATTAGGCCTAGGCTTTTTCGGGCTTAGACTCTTTCAAGTTTCAAGTACAAAGCCAAACAATTGAAAAAAAATCTGGGGACAAAGCGATCTTCCGTAAATAAGCAAAATGGCGTCGTCTGAGTTTCCCTTACACGAAAGAGTATTCAATGGCGACATTAAACGGGTTTCTAGATTGATACGAACCTGTGACGTATCTCAGAGAGACAATCATGGTAATCATTTAGTTTTTCTCAATGTTTGTATGTACGATTTATTAGATTGCTCGCTCATTAGTGACGTTCCTTTATGACTCATCTTCTGCAGTCAGTAGCCTCTGTAGCAGTCTGTCAAAGTGCAGTCGTTCATCAAACTTAAAATTATAACTTAATATTATTAGGTTAGGCCACCTCTATTCTCACCCCCGGTGAGAAAAGCACAGGGGAGCCTTTTGGCTATTCTCACCCGGTTTGTGCGTTCACCGTGATAGCGTAGACCAACCGGTGTTGCGTTCACCGTGAACAAACGTTCCAGCGCTCCTGTGTTGCAAGGCCACCTCTATTCTCACCCGGGGTGAGAATAGTGCAGGAGAGTCTTTTGGCTATTCTCACCCGGTGCGCGTTCACCGTTATAGCCTAGATCTAGGCCATCAAATTTTGCGTTCACCCTAAACCACAGAATTCTACACTGTGATAAATAACAGAAAAATTGTAGAATTCTGTGCCGTGAACAAACGTTCCATTACAACTGTAGCCTACTAAAAGCGTACAATTTTGTCTGTGGGCAGTGGAGAGAAAGAGAGAGAGAGAGGAGTAGCGCGAGAACTTCCGGTCAAAACAAAATAGCGACCCGCGTAGTTCGGCTCGATTCGAAAAGTTAAATAGCCGTAGCATCTTTGTAGACAACCAAATTAATTTACTTTTGTGTTTTAACATCATTTTTTAACTTTGTTTTGGTCAATTTGATCGTCCACACCAATAGACAGTATTCAGAAAGAGACAGAGAGAGAAGAGGGGAGGAGTAGATCTTGCGAGAACTTCCGGGCAAAACAAAATGGCGACCCCCGTTGTTCGGCTCGATTCGAAAAGTGAAATAGCCATAGCATCTTTGTAGTCGATAAAATTAGCTTACTTTTGTGCTATAACATAACCTTTTATTTGCCTTTATCCATTTGATCATCCACATCGATAGAAAGTATTACGAAATAAGGAAAAACAGGTCTTGTTTCAAACCGGGTGAGAATAGCCTACGGTCGCAAGTCTCACCCAGGGTGAGAGGTCGATCGTATTTCTATTCTCACCCCGGATGAGAATAGCCACTTCCGTGTTGCAAGTGTGCAACTTTCAATTTACTTTGTCTGTGGGCAGTGAGAAAGAGAGAGGGTGCTTTTTCGGTAGTTTCCACCCCCCTTATTTGAGCCTAGATCTGCATCCTAGATCTATACATTTGATGAGCGGCGAGCTAAGATATCAAACCTAACAACTGCAAAACATCAAATTATCATTTATATGATGAGCAATTGCCAAAACGTGAGACTCTCTTGAGACTCAGTGGTGCAAAAAAAATTTTCTTACCAATTTGACTCTCTTTTCTGTCAGTCACAGATTGACATTTAGTGCTCATATTCCTAGAGTATCAGAGCAAGGAGATGTACGGTTTTGGAGATATGGGTCTATTGGTTTGGCAACTACTGTATTTCTTGTATGTAACAGTAATGACAAAAACAGGCAGCAGGGCAAATTATGGACTTTAAATTCCATTTGTTTAGTAAACAAAGACTTCGTACACTATGAACTCCATTCATAATGGTAATATGAATGACAAGCTTTGTAACAATGACGCAGTGCACAGAACATGTCATCATTGTTATGTACAAGAAAGGATACACATTGGACATTATCATTAACAACACATCACAATAGTGAAAGGCTGTACAAATACAGTTATCAAAGCCTCAGTACCAGAAAAACACATGTGTAAAACAATTTTTAAACTAAAATGAGGCAAAAGCACAAGTGACAAAATCAATTGAGCTGACCTGTACATAACAGTGATGACATAACTGATGACACAATGTACAGGAAAAGACAAAAGTCTTGTCTCCAGAGAGAAAAGCAGAGAGAAAAGCGCACTTTAAGAATTAAAAAAACCCAAGAGAGGTTTCTTTTGCTTTGAAAAAGATACCAGGTCATATCAATCACAATTACGTTGCTAATTATGACAAAGAGTACTCGTACATAACAGTGATGACAAAACATACTGGGAAAAGGTAAAATCATGCCTACAAAGAACAAATTTGCACTATGAGATCACACAGATCAATAAAGGCGTATTTTGTTTCTAAATGAATCTTGCATGTATGAAATATATGTTGAAAACTTATTGATATCAGCAATTATGAAAAATATTACATAACAATGATGACACAATGACACAATGTATTGGAAAAAGGCATATCATGCCAACAAAGAACAAATGTGTACTTTTGAGTTAGACAGATAAACAAGGACATGTTTGTCTATTTGTTTGAGTAAAAAGAGCACACATGACTTAAATAATGTTTGCTCTTAGGACAATGTAATTTCTAGTACGTCGGTCAGTCTTGTACGGCTGCATGACGACACCCCAAACGTCATCACTAAACTCAAAAGCTAAATCTATAACCACAGAAATGATCCATCTCTCGAAGTTTGTTCACACATCACACTCTTGTTCCAGGAATCCAATGTAAACACCACAATTTCACTAAAATATTCAATAGGGTAGCCTAAAAACACGCAAAACAGCCCAGTACGTCACATTCAACGCAAGATTCTTGTGCGTAACCGGAGGGTGACGGCAATGACTACTTTCGTTTTTCTCTTTACCCCGTTGCTCCCGCTGTTCTGGGGAAGCGGGTAAAGGGAAGTCACTCAAGAAAATAATTATATCCGGGCACTGTTGATGATCCGTTCAAAACAAAAGTAGGCTAAAATTCGGACTTCCGGTACGTCTCAAAGTGACGCCATTAACGGCGAATGTTAAACAGCCGACCGAAATCGTAGATCTAGGAACCCGATGTTCCTTTCGCGCATCGCGGCTTTTGAACTATTGAATAAACGACGAAAAGCAAAAAGATTTAACCAGCTGTGGTGATTCTACTGAAAAATAATGGTGTTTTCTGAAACACCTAGTCCGTGACGACACCCCTGACGCACAAGTGATCCGAATTATTCGTTTATTTGCAAACAAATAAACCGATTTCTTGAGCAAGTGAACCTTTCTCGATCACAAATAGCATAGAATCAAAGCACAGGTTAAAAAAAAACACCCAAAAATACTAAATTTTTGACATTCTTGGAAGTTTGCATTGGTGTGCTCAAAATGACACTCCAGGAATCACTAAAAAACGGACATTTTTGGCACAAAATTTACAAACGCAAGATTATAAAGCTGACATAGGGTCTGAAACTGCTAATGCAGGTTCTACATCCTATATTTGACATGTGTATACGTTTTGGAGGAATAAATACTAATGCATCACATTTTATGCACACTATTGTGAGATGTGTGTGTTTTTCCCCACGTTTTGGCAATGGCTCATATGGTAAAATCAGGGGGCCAAAACCGGCGAATAACAATTGCGGCTGCGGGGTGGGAACTACTGAGAAAGCGCCAGAGAGGGGGGGGGGGGGGGGGGGAGAGAAAGAAGAGTAGCACTAGAACTTCTGGACAAAACAAAATGGCGACCCGCGTAGTTCGGCTCTATTCGAGGTACCCCTATTCAAAAAGTAACATAGCCTTAGCCTAACTTATCATCTTTTTAGACCACCAACAGGGCTCCCCTTTACGCACTTGTGTAAATGTGCGTAATCAGCAGATTACCTCCTTTAAGTTTTAGTTGTGCATGAGCTTTACTCTTTATTATTTCTTTTCGGGGGTTTGCATACGCTTTAAAACGTAGGCCCTAGGTGGTGTGCGTCTGGCAAGCATCATTTCCCCCCCTTCTCTATCCCAAAGCCGAGTCAATGATTTGACGACACACCCACACACATGCACGACAGTCACCTTCTGTATCAGAAGAAACCTACTTATCAGCTGCGCACAGTTTCCAGCAACACAGGCTTGCTTCAGCACAGAAGCTCTGCCCACATTCTGGTCGCTCACATTTGCCGGTGTCGTGCCTTGAGTTTACCCCTGCCGTGAGATAACCCCCATCCTTCTTTAACAAATAACACACTAGTAAACTTGAATTGTCTGCCATCGAAAGTGTGGAAAGACTGGAATGTGAACCCTGGGATGGCTCTGAAGAATAATGAATCATTCCAAACCTGCCACTCATCCCTGCCCTAAATCTCAAGCATCCCGATGTTGATCGCGTGTACCCTGATTTTTTTGTTTAATTTTTTGTTCCGCCTGTTGCGCCAGATTTGTCTAAAATCTTACTCTTGCCTTCTTTTCTGTCGTGGGAAGCACTCGCTTAACTTTTTGTCAGCAGAAACTCGGAGAACTTTTTTCCAAAATGTCTATGTTGAATTTAGTAGTTGACTCACCAAAAGTTGTCTTGGATCTTTGCTCACACGTGTTATTTCAACTATAACGGATTGGAAGTAGTATTGATTTGGCTTTCCAACTTAAGACATTCTCAAGATCTACTTTCGCCAAAACATGCTTTGTCCGAATTTTGGTTAGTCAGGCCCGTCATCAAGATCGTCAGTAAAACTGTTTCAGTCGCGCGTTTGCACCATGTGACATGACTTCGGCGTGTGAGTTCCGCGTGTGTCGGGGACCATCGTTGACGGGGTCAATTTAAGTTTATGCACACTGGTTGAAGCGTCTTTCGGGACTTATCCGAGGGGAGGGGGGACGTGTAAAACACTTGGACTAGGAGACTTTGACATGATACTTCAGGATTTTTAAAAAAGATGAAACTCACACAGGCACACGCAAGCTCACACACACACACACACACACACACACACACAGACATACACCCCACACACGTATGCGCAGAGGGAATATACATGGTTATAATATTGGACATCCTTGGAATTTTTTAAAAGTCAGCTTGGCAGTGACCTAGGTGATTTGTCGTTGATCCCGATTTTTTTTACCAAGTCCCAATTTTTTTTCCCTACTTAGATCCTGACTTTAAGATTTCATAGAGTGGCAGGTCTATTTTTCTTGGAGTATTATAATCGGAGTTGACGCCTTTTGGTTTTACCAACTTTATTTTATTTTTGATAGACCCAATTGCTCAACCACCACCACTGTTCCCCCCTCCAAATGGACACAACTCTAATTCTCGTCAATATTACTCATTTATTTCTGAAGTTAATTAAAATCATTAGCATTCAATCATAGTCGTGGTCACTCTATGTGTGTCTGTGTGAATGTGCGTGTGAGTTAAATGTTTGCAAGCAAAAAATCTTACTATAAAATTACGAGATATTGACTTTTACGGTTTAAGTTTCTAAAACAAGGGTTTAAATCCCTAGTAAACCAAAGGGTCAAGGAGCCTCTTGAGCCCTGCACCAAATTAGCTTTCTTTTGTGCTATAATGTCATTTTTTTCTTTGCTTTTGTCAATTTGATTATCCATATCGATAAACAGTATTCCGAAATTAGGAAAAACCGGTCTTGTTTCACACCGGGTGAGAGTAGCCAACACTGGCAAGTCTCACCCGGGGTGAGAGGTCGGTCGTATTTTTATTCACCCCCTTCCCCTGAACAAACACACTCACACACACACACACACACACAAAGTTTGAAAATTCAGTTAGCAGCAACCGCAGCTTGCTTCCCAAGAGGGTTGCTGTTAGGCAGACCTCATCATACTATAATATTGTTCTGTACAACTGTACTAAAATTGACAAAAGTCATACTATAGTGAACTTATGAAAATAGCTGTGCTTTATCTAACTTTTTTTTCTCTAGTGATTCGAAATTGTGTTGGGTATAAGTATAATTTATTACACTTCCTGCCATTAGGCTGCATAAGAAAGACTTACTATATATATATATATATTATATATATATATATATATATATATATATATAATATATATATATATTATATATATATATATATATATATATATATATATATATATATATATATATATATATATTAAAAATGCCTGTGTATGCTTAAAGTAATAATATGAAAGTGAAAACACCTTGTCTTAACCCTTTAATACCCATCAGGGAAAAAGAGACGGATGTAACTCCAGATGACTGTTGTGAGCAAAAAATATTGATAATCATGATAATGTCATAAGAGTAGTTTACACCAAAAGTTTGGAATTTTTCCAATTTCTTTTTTATTGAATGACTTTTCACTGCCAGGCCTATCAGGCTGCAATATTTTAAATATTTTTTATCCTGAACCAGACCCAGATGATGATTTCCAGTCGGTAGATATGACTTTTGAAGACAATTGCAATGTTTCGCATAACATCGATGATGATTTTTACTATAGTGAAAGTGGCAGGGGATCACCGCTAGAGCTGCCAGAGGCTAGATCTACGGCTGGGCCTAATGATGCTTTGACTATAGTGTTTAGGATCACACACAAGACTTTAAGTCATAGAGTTGGTCTTAAAAACCTGTGTTTTTAATTGTTCCTCTTTTGTCCAGATTGTGCATTCATATATGTACTATACATATTATATAACATATTCAAATTTAAGTAAAATCTGACAATTAATAAAGACACAGTTAATAAGATAATGAAACAACCTGATTGTTTCTGTTATCTCTATTTCATTCAGGATTCTAGGGAGGTATTAAAAAAACTCAGGGTTTTATGTATTAAGCTTCACCTCAAATGTTTCTTATATAAATCCACTTCTTTTTTTAGCTTCATTTTGAGTGCATTAAACAATTATTCTTTTATGTTTTGTATTTTTTCTACAGGAAATACTCCTCTACACCTTGCAGTCATGCTTGGGCATAAAGGTAATTAGGTGTCTCTTAAATGAAAGTCAGTCAGATTTGTTTTTATGCTTTTTATAAACTAAGATATACCTGTGATTATGTGCTGGAGTTATAAAGATACATACGTATAAAAAATACAATAAGTATATATTTGACATCTTTTTGATAGTATGTAGGGAAGTTGATAGTTGTTTTAGTCTTTCTTTGTCTCGTCTCCTACCCCTGCTGGAGGTCAGGGAGTAAGTGATTATAAGATTAGTAGTACAAGAATAATTTTAAAGTACAAAGCCCTTTTATTTAACAGAATGTGTGGGTGGTTGGAGGGTGCTCTGGTGTGGTTTGCTCTTCTTTCTCCTGTCAAACATGTATCATCCGTATCTCTCCTCCTTTTTTTTTTGTGTTTGTTACTCGCTTGTAACACCTCTAATCTTTGGCACTTATATGACCTTCTTATTATGTTGCAAGTGCCATAAAACTCTTACTTAATGTAAAAGCTAACCTAGAATGTAGAATCATCTCTTGCTTGACAGAGAGCTACATTCCGTTTTTCAAATGTACTACTATATTTGTAATGACCAGAGTGACTTCAGTTTTGGGTTTGAAGTTTGTTTCTTACGAAGTTTGCCCTGAGAGTGAAGTGAAGGGCCTACCCACCTACTGTTTTTTATTTTAGAACGGCCTTGGGATATTTAATGTTCTAGGTAAACTGTACCCTACTCACCCTGGAATGGGGGTGTGTAGCAAACATGAGGAAAAAAACTAACGTTGGTGGGGATCAATCCAACTCTTGACCTCCAGTGGACAGGGGAGCACCATGTGACCGTACCCAACATTCTTCTTGTGTTATTATGTACATTCCTCCTTACTTTAATATCTTGCAGTTGTAATGAAAAAAATAAAAAATGTAGCTTGGTGTGCAAATCTCTGTCCTGTCTGTTATGTTTTTATGTCTATGTTTTCATTAAGTTTTCATGTTCTTTCCTTTAAATGATTTTTTCAAATTTTCCAGAATGTGTGCATTTGCTACTTGCTCATGGAGCCCCGGTGAAGGTGAAAAATGCTCAGGGATGGACACCATTGGCAGAAGCCATCAGCTATGGTGATCGACAGATTAGTGAGTTGGAATAGGGTCATAGCACTCATTTTTGTCTCATTTCTTGTAATGAGACAGGTAATTTGGTTATTTTTAGCTTTTATATGTGACTAACTTTGGTAATACTCATCTCTTTAGTTTTTAGTTTTATTAGAGGTTTTACGGCGCTCGCAACTGCTTAAGGTCATATGAGCGCCAGAAGATTAGAGGTGTTACAAGAGAGTAACGAACATAAAAAAGAAGGGGAGATAAGGACGATAGATGTTTGATAGGAAAGAAGAAGCAAACCACACCAGAGCACCCGCCAACCACGCACATACTCATCTCTAAAGAGATTTTATATTTGGAAGAGTTTCTGGCCTTTTGAAAAAAGAGAAAGTGACTCGAGATTTACTGTCATTAGTTTGACTTTGTCATCATCGTAAACTCAGGAGCAATCTGTCAAGTATTTCTCTTTCTGTCTTTGGAGATACATTATCTTTTTCATGATACTGATGCTCTTATTACTTTGTTAAATGTGGGCGAAGTACCTTTAATTTTGTATTACTTTGTGTGAGCAAAAATTATTTTCTTCTTTTTCAGTAGCACTGTTCTAAAGTGAATTCTCACTACAGACTTATGAATTATAATGAATTTCCTATTTAAATGAAATTTAAGTTGTGATACACAGTTATTTGATATTACTGGTAAGTTTAAGCAAATTGTTACTTCTTTTCCCTATATTGTTAATGATTGTTTATCTGTTTTGTCGTAGTTCTCTTGGTATTACGGAAACTGAAACAACAGTCCCGGGAAGCCTTAGAACAAAGACGCCCTCTGATTGTCCAGGCTCTTAAAGACATTGGAGACTTTGACATGGAGCTTAAATGGGATTTTCAAAGCTGGGGTAAGATTGCGTAGCATGTGTGTTTAGACTTTTCATTATATCTGCATTCCCGTGTTAAATCTCAGAGGTAAGCTACTGTAGATTTCTAACCCCTCAAAGTACCTGATGTTTTTTTTATTCAACCTTTGTCCTCACAAAGGTCCAGTTGAGCCCTTTGCCTTTCAATTTCATGCAATGAAGAGGTGTTCTCAAAGAAATAAAGTGTTCTGTGTTTTATGGGTTTAAAAAAAATATTAATTTGTGGTTTATGATGTAAGAGTTTATATTGTCATGTATGCTTGAAAGCACCTTTTAAAAATCATTAGAATAAAAGTTCAATTGAAATAATGTGAAGACTACAAAAGTGAGCTTTTGCCAATAGGTGGGTACCTAAAATGTATCGCAAAGGGTTGATGATACAGTTTTTAATATTTCGTTTTTATTTGAGTTTTTCTATTGATGTATATCTTCTCCTACAAAAATATGTATTTTCAGACCTACAGATGGCATGATAAGGTGTGTGACTTGCGTTACATAGCATCAAGTCAAATTCTTTCAGACATAACTATGATGACACATTAAAAAAAAATTTAATGTACAAAATTATTTTAACAGTTTTCTTATTGCTTGAATTTTCAAACATAAGCATGAAGAGCATATAAAATGGTGAAAAAAGAAATTTAAAAGTTTTTTTATACTTTGGGAAAATTCTCATATTTATTTTTCTTTTGCACTTATTGAAAAAAACTTGCTGTTACACTGATAGGGTCTGGTTCAGGTATACTCTCCCCACATTTGGTCAAATTTAGTCTGTAAATAAGAAAGCCTTAGGGATTTGAAATCCATTGTTTATTTTCAAGATGGCGGCCGTTTCCATAGCAACCGCTTTAGCTATGTCAAAATGAAATTGCGTATCAAGAGATTTTACTATGTCTAACTTATATGTGTACTTAGATTTGATCTCGGGCGACAAACATAGAAAATGGTCCTCAAGGGTAGCTCCTCCCGTTAAATTTGCAACAAGGAAGCGCATGATGATAGTTCTTCATCTAATGAATGAACAATGAATTGCCGGTTTAAGAGACCTGTTTTCGGCAATTGCGAAAAAGTAATTTGATGTCGAAGTCGTCGAAAAGGAATGTGCTCAAGCCGCTGTAAACGGCTCACCGGCATAGTGGTTCCGGCCGCGAGACGCTGGGAGCGGCTTTCCGGAGAGAAAGAGTTAAAGAAATGAAAAACATTCTGTTTTCATTCTTAATTTTTATGAAATTTTGAGCAAACAACGATTCAGAAGATTCAATTTGACTCACAATGCTTGTTAATGATGAAAAAATGCCACTTTATTCACATTTTGCTAGGAGTCTCTGCAAAATATAAAAAATCTTTCGAACATAACCATGATGAGACAAAATGAAAAATACCCTGAAAAGTGAGTTATAAAATGTAAAATTATTTTAATAGTTTTCTCATTGCTTTACTTTTCAAACATAAGCATGAAGAGCATATTAAATCACAGAAAAAAGAAATTCTGAATGTCTTTGTGTTCGCATTTGTGTCATCATAGTTATGTCCGAAAGAAATGAAAAACTTTCCATTTTCATATTTTAATTCATTTTTTTGACAATTTTGACAAACAAAGATTCCAGAGATTCAGTTTGACTAATAAGGCATGGTTAAAGTGAAAACATGCCAGTTGATTCACATTTTACTATGACTCTATGCAAAATACCAAATATCTTTCTAACATAACCACAATGACATATAATGAATAAATGCTTGTCGTCATTTTCGAACATGTTATCAATTTAAATAAAATTTTTCCCTCTTGTTGACATCAAGTCAAGCACGCATGGTCGTATCTAGATTTACCACTACTGGACCATTAGAACGCAGTGCAATGTTAATCACTACTTGGTTTAACTTTAATTAAATGGGGGGAAACATTTTTTAAACATAAATAAGAGCTTTTTTCCAGCATTACAGGTTAAGATTTGATGACGTCATGAGAAAACTTAAATGAATTCGTCTCCTCCATCGTTATTCTTCTCCCCGTCTAGCATCGCACAACAATACGCTTTGAATGGATCGACAGGAACAATGCATGTTCCTCCACCCCTATTATTTCTCGTTTTCTGATTGGTTCTTTTAAGCATAACAAATTATGACAGAGCTCAAGGCGTCACGGGATTTCCGTTTACTGCAAAATTGCGCACGATCACAGCCTCGGAATCAGTCAGGGAAGAGAGAAAACATTAAACAATATTAAGCTGGTTCCAGGGCCCCAAAATGGCTGATAGAAACGAAGTCACAGGGAATCGAAGTCCATGCGAAATGATTACACAAGTTATGCTCGAAAATGGAAATCTGGAAGTCTCACAAAGAAAAAAGAGCTACAGATATCATTATTCCTGATATAGCACCACAAATAATGTAGTTATAGTAGTAAAAGTGAAGAAGGACAAGTTTCTCAGCAATTATTTCTTTGTTGAACTTAACGTCAGAAAAAGTACGAACTCGACGCGTCACGTTCTGCATTCTAAAAATACATCGATTTCAGAGCTAAAAATATTTGTAAGATTTCTTCTGATGGCCCGACTTCTATTTCTCTGCTCCCGTAGCTGAAACATCACATTAAGCACAACATAAACAAATTTCAAAGCTGTAGCACCATTTTTATTGGAACAGGAAAGGATTTTGTAAGGTCTATGAAGAAACCCCCACCTATTGGCAAATGCTCAAGTAGTATTTCATCATCACAATGCTTAAAAAAGAGTCTTCAGGTCTCATAAAAAGCGAATTAAAGTTTTAGGCTGATATTTTCATGTCAAAAGTATGTCAGAAAGTAAAGTGTTGGTAGAATAGTCCATTGGAAAAGGTTGCCACAAGTGTACTTTTTTAGCCTTCTGTAAAAAAAATATGTAATAAAGTTATTTTTTATTTCAAAGGTCACAGTAAAAAAAAAAAAGCAACAGGTTTATTGAATTTTTGTCCAATGTTTACTTTCAGTGCCCTTGGTATCAAGTATTTTACCATCTGATATTTGTAGGATACGAAAGAAAGGATCGCGAATACGGTAAGAGATATCTTATTATATTTGAGAGTATAACATTACTGTCAGAAATCAGGCTGCCTCATTACTATTCACTGTCCTGTGTTTTATGGAGGGAGTTGGTTGGGGTGATTTTGTGTGTATTTCACATTATCGTTTTCCGTATGTGTTTTCCTTTTTCTTGCTTTTTATACAAAAATTTCTACAATTATACAAGTGCTTCATGTCATCTCGTTTCGTTTTGGTATATGGGGAAAGGGATTTTTTCACCTGAAGCATGGATGTTGGAAAAAGTTTCGTTCATTTATTGGTAGCAGATTGAATATAGTTTGGTTATGCTTCTCGGTGTAAAGATTTATAAAGGAAAAAGTTGGGGGTTTTGGGTTTTTTTTTTTTTTTTTAAATGTAAAGCTGTCAGTAAAACTTGCTTGTCCCCCTCAAAATGTTTTCATATAGATTGTATTTTGATAAATTTGATGTGCGTTTGTTTCATTGTACTTAATGAAGATGTGAATGTTTGTTTTTTCCTTGTTCTTTCTCCTTTTTCAGACTAGACACTACATTAGTGGATTTTACAGAGATGAGATGGGAGAGAGGCGATATTACTTTCATGTTCAATGGTGAAGCTGAGCCCAGAAACAGTTTGACTGTGCTTGATAACAAAGCAAAAGTGTTCCAGAGAGTCAGATATGAGGTATGATCTTGGACTTCACTTAGCAGCCATGCCCAGTGTTCTTTGAATTAGATACTCAATCACAGGTTTGAACGATGATTCATTTATATTTACACCATGGTATCTGGTCAGTTTCAACGACAAGAGATTTTGACAGCTAAAAAAGCTGGCATAGTTGGAGAAAGAAAATATGTGGTGGCTTCGGTGGTTGGGATCAGGGAAACCTTATATAATACAGTCGAACCTGCTATGACGGCCACCTGAACAGACAGCCACTTTCCATTCCCCCCTTGTGTTTTTTTCTATATAATTTAACTGTGTAAAACGATCACCTGTCCAACGCGGCCGTATTTATCTACCCAGAGCCAAATTTACCTGCCTCAGGCGGCCAGACGTGGTCTCTACAATCGCCCAATGCTCTGTCATAAATTCTAAGTTTGCCTCTGATGCTGTGGACAGGCCTTCATAATCCATTCACCTGTCATTATTGTTAGCCCCCTAATGAATGTTTACCCAAGTTGACCAATGGGTAACAATACATTTTCAACTGCTCTGGAGGGAAGTGTGTGTCCGTCATAAACTATAAGCCCCGCCCACAACTCATGCAAATTGTACGTGAAGTGACTGGTGACTGTTTTTTTACCTAATCTGTAAGAAAGTAACAATGGACGGTAACGTGAGCTTGCGACAGAAGCGTTGCTCGTTCTCCGATTGGTGGCGACCCAGTGTTTGTTTTACCGTGACACTCGGTCTTCATCGTCTTACATTCTTTACTTTATCCTTGCACAAAATCAGCTACCAAAAAGCTAACCAAAAACAAAGCCACAACAAGAGAAAAGCCTTTTCTTACCCCCCTCCCCTTTTCAAAAGAAAACAAAAAACCCTTTTGAATTCGCCCTACAGCAGTCCTAAACCTGAACCAGCCCTGGTTTGGACTTCAGAAGAGAATGGTTTACTTTCTTCATTTTGATCAGTCCTGCCTAAGATGGCCACCTATGTTATACGGCCACTTTTCTCCATGACAATGGGTGGCCGTTTTACACAGGTTTGACTATTGGTCTCGAGAGAATGTCAAGAATTATGGAGTTCAATAATTACATTACCTGTTGGCACAGTACTTAATAACGTTTTTATTTGTTGATTCTGAGATCTGTAGTTGTCTTTTTTTAAATTGTTTTAAATTTAATTTAATTTATTAAAAATTGAATTCTGTTCCAATATGTCTACACAATATATGGCAATGTTATTTTCATATTCCATTGTTGTGTAGTCCACAATATGCGAGAGTCTTTGATTTAAAGTCTTCTCTGAATTCATTTAGGACTCCTATGAATACGTAACCAGAGCTGTTAAAGTACTTTTAAAAAGGTACTTAAGTACAAATTTAAGTACAATCTAAAATATGTACTTAAGTACAGTAAAAG